CAAGTCAGACAGAAATGCAATTATTGGTTTCTGTTTCTAATTAATACAGCTCTACTATGTTCAAAACTTACATTAGTTTTACATCAAAAATAAGATAATACTGTGTACTATCTATGGAAAAGTTTTGTTTCACAATTTCTACATTTTTTTTTCTCAGTTATGGGCAAAAAAAGAGCCGCACCGTCCATCTTCGCCATATAAATCTATGTTAAAATGAACAACTTTCAACAACTATATCTCAAAATCTAGATTCTAAAAAAATTTCAAAAAAATATGACGCACAGAGGGAGCACTGGGTAATACGCTATATAAATTTCAAGTACATCTGAGAATTTGAATAAACCCGATATAGGTACCTCCTAAAACGTGCCATGTTTACGATTCACACGTGGCGTTGTTGTGGAGCTAGAAACTTTCAAAGGTAACTTGATGGACAATGAACTTAATGGACTAAAATAATGTTGTATAATTAGAAATATCATTTTCAATGTTCGATATCTCGAAAACTGTTAAGTTTAGGTATCATGTATGTATCATGTGCTACATGAATTTTGTTTAGAATCGAGAACAATTATTGAAATATGGAATAATATGTAGGGTGTTAAATTAAAGAAAACGTTACTTTGTTTCGTCATAACTTTTTGACTGATCTTGTATACTTAAACAGCGACCTATAATTCCTTCTTATAACGTTTTATTATAGTGTATTTCAACTGTTATCCTAAAAACGAAATTGCCCTTATCGCAGCACTTGGGACAACGCCCAGTATACACCGCTGGTGGAAAGGCGTCGCGCCTCGCACATTTCCTCGCCTCCCACCTTCGAGCAAGACGGTCTTCGTGCCAAAACCGCGTCTTTCATTTACGAGCCGATCTTTCCACAAATTAAAGCGAATCTGCCCTCCCCGCCCCCCCGTGCCGCTGCAATTTTCCTCCGAAAACGGAAGCGGCCGCCTCGATTTTCAAACAAGGCATAACGGGACGATCGGACGGTGACGTGACGGGATTGCGTGTATATTCCATAATACGAATAGGGCGTCGCGACGCCCCAGTTGTGTCCATTTTTAGCCACGCGTTCAGTTTCAGATATAATCGGCTATCTTCGGCCCGAATGCAGCGCTGATTCATTTTGTCAGTTTTACATTTTAAGTTTAGTTTTACGATTTAGACTTTTTGCACTGGCATAATTATTTTTTGAGTAAGTACCGCTGCTGAGAAAATTAACGCAAAACACGCAAAAGCTGCTAGACGTGTGTGGTTGTTCTGTTTGTTACTCGCAAAAATAAAAACCTCTGCGTTTTGCCCGTAAACTCGCTTTTCCGAGGTGGGTTTTTCGCAAAGCGGCCGCCATTTTCGTTTGAAAACGCCGAGGTTTCCGCTTTGCCAAACGCTTTTTTCCAAAACGCTTTCAAATAACTTCAACCCAGTGTTAAAAATAGCGTAAGACTCTTAAAATACCTCTTCCTAAGTAGAGGAACAAATACCGAGTGTTGGCCTTTACGTAACACCCGACAAACTATGTATTATTATTAACCTGGCTGTTTCGCGTCTAACAACAATTTTATATGCGCAAATGTTTTGCGAAAACTACCATTCAGTGTACTTTGTTTATTGTTTATTTGTTTAAAAACGTGTCGCATTAAGAATGATAGTGTCCGACGGCAAGTTAGTACGTATTTTTGCTATTTATCGACGTGGCGTTTAATACCAAGAATGTATTTTTAATATACGGGGGCGGACGAAATATTTTCACTCAAATACTCTCCAACGCCTTGGCGATCTATCTATAATTTAAAATGTTCACCTCTATTGCTCTTTCAACATAGATTACGTAGAATATTTACAAAAAATAGGACCGTCATCGTTTTATATTTGAAAAATAATTTTTCATTATAAACAAAGTAATCTTTGAGCCAAATATCACAGACCAACAAAATTTAACTTTTTTTTGGAAGCAGAAACTTGGATATATATTTCCGAAGGATTTAGGTCGCTGAATGCGAATCTGGCAGCAGAATTGTTCTATCACGTCAGGTTTTTGACATATCCTAACCTAAAAGTGCAAAAAACACTGTTTTTCGTCATCTTTGAGGTTATGTAGTAATGCCGTCTATTCTTTTTCAAAAAACTAATACATTGAATCTAAAAGTACAAGGCTCCCTCCTTTGAATGTTGTTGAGTTTGCTCAAATATCTTTTTTTTTCGTTAAGATATCGCATGTTGAAATTTTTTAGTTTCTCAGTTTCTTAATATGCGAAAATCTACTAAGGATCCCTTAGACATCAAGCAGTCGATTGCAATTCAGGAACTTCATACCCATATGGTTTGTGGGTTTGGAGTTGGTGGGCTTGGGGTTTGTAAGTTTGGAGTTTGTAGGTTCGGGTATTGTGGGATTGTGGGTTTAAGGATTGTGGGTTTGGGGTTTGTGGGTTTGCGGATTTGGAGTTTGTGAGTTTGAGTTGGTATGTATTGAAGGTCTGAGTATGAAATTTCTGAACTGCAATCAACTGTTTGACGTCTAAGAGATCCTTAGTAGATTTTCGCATATTAAGAAACTGATAAACTTAGAAATATCAACATACAGTGTTTTTGCACTTTTAGGTTAGGATTTCTCGAAAATCTGACGTGATAGAGCAATTCTGCGGCCAGATTCGGATTCAGCGCACCAAAATCCTTCGAGAATGCATATTAGTGTGTCTGCTTCTCAACCCTTGTTGACCTGTGTAATTTATAAATGAAAATGTTTTAAATATCGTATTACAAGAATACTTTCGTTCCGCCACCTTTGTAAAAAAAAATCATATAAATTTTAACCAAACATTTAGCTCGTCAAAAGCAGAAATGTTCATTTAATATTTTTTCGTCAATCTCTTAGTTTTTAATTGTTTTTTTTTTAATTTTGACATTGTTACACGCCATTGGAACATAAATCAATAAACTTAGTATACGCATAAGTATATGTTTAAGTAAGTACATTTATCATGAAAATATTACACTGTAAAAAAATCGGTACGAGTGAAAGCAATAAAGGTACGGAGTGAGTTCATTGAGTGAGATTACTCAGTACATTTTCACTCAATATTGAGTATTTCGATTATTTTACTCATTTGTGATAATATTTGAATTAAAACTAAGTACTTTCACTTAAATATTTAAATATTTCCGCAGATCAACTCGTATTTGGTACACTTGTAGCTAAATCGGAGTAAATGTCTTCATTATTGAGTGTCCACACTCCATTCTATGGTTGTCGTGCGTTGTCTTTGTCTATTCCCATCGTCCTCATTAGATCATCTCGTGGCGTAGTGTATGGCGTGTAGTGCTTGACAAGTGTTCGTTAATCCAGTTATTTTGGTGAAAATTATGTTTAAATGCAGTGGTTTGATTACAATAATTAAAAACAACAATATATCGTGTCTCGATTAATATTTGGTTAAATAAACGGATAGTTAAATTGTTACCTACACTTAATTACGTATGTTTAACGTACAATATAGGTTATGGCAATATATTCCTCCGATCGGTTAACCAATTGCTTTAATTGAGACCTAAAAATAAATATTGTCTTATCACTTGATAGTTAGCAGAAACTCGGATTCGAGTAAAATTCACTCACTACTGTTGCAATAGTTTCATAACCTTTTAGTTGTACTCATACTAAAAGAGTGCAAAGTTTCACTCAAATGGATGTGGACAGAAATTGACGCATTGTTGAGTGAATTTGAGCGAATTTTTTCTTACAGTGTAAAGAGTTGTTGCTTTTCATGAGTTGTATATAATAATGTCTCCTGAAATATAGCTGTCCATTTCATTTTAGAAGTGGCCAAAGGGTGGGAGTAATTTTCAAAACAAATGACGATCGACCCATTTACTACCTTGGCGATATTAAAACTAAACAAACACTACCTGCGCGTACTTGAATTTTATCGTTAGGCGCTTGTAATTGATGGTTTTGCCAAATCGAAGTCTGTTACCGGCTATAAAGCTGCGGCAAATTACAAGGCCTTGTCATATGCAAGCATGTATAATAATTATATCTCGGTTATTTATAATCCTAGTGTGCGTTGTAAATCTATATTTATATCGATACCTAACAGCGCCGAACCGAAAAAAAGGCTTAGAAATTATAAGTAGGCGTATCGACAATGTATTATTCCGAAAATAAAAAATTTACAGAAAAGATATGCGGGGTATTTTAAAGGAAATAGAACACCCCACAGATAAAATACTATTTGTACCTTAATATATAAATTTACATATTTATTTATTGATATTCATAGGTTTTGTTTGATTTTTTTGTTATTCCATAGCAACGCCAGTATGAAGGACGCCACATAAATGACAATAATTTTGCACGAAGCAAGAGCTGTCACATTTCGTTTGACATAATTTTCATTTGTCTATTTTCATAGGACATAGCCTGCCTCGTTATGGAAACAATAATCTTTATTGGATATTTGGAATTAATAAAAAAAAAATGAAACAAATTTCAAAATAAAGCAAGTACTTTTTTAAAAACAAGCTTGGTATATAGTTTTACAACTTAATTTTGGCTTGGATTATATCAATGTTATTTGGAGAACAAAATAAAGGAGGATGTTCTAGCACAACCTCACCATTTTAGCAATAACTTGAAAACGAAAAAAGTTATCGACTTCCGGTTTGTGTATTTGTTTTCCTTAATAAATGGTCAATCAAATCATGAAAAAAACCTATATCGTTACATTTAATTTTTTTTAGTAAACGGAGACAATTCCAAAACTTGTCTGATTAGCGTCGGCGTCGTCTACCGTTGCGCAGGAAAATAACATTTTTATTCCCATATCATAAAAATAAATTTTATTAATAGTTCTTTAAAATGGGCCGTCGTTTCTTGAAATGGATTAAGGCATTTAGAAATTATGACAATTTAAAAATATCAAGATGGCCTCCTTCATACTGGCGTTGCTATGGTAATAACAAAAAAAAGTTCAAGCAAAACTTATGAAGAGTTTAACAGTGTATCTAAAAAGTGTGCTTTATATAAGCGATATTTCGAAAAATCGATAATTTTCTGTAACACTATAGCAGTTGCGCCCTCTAACGGTGAAGTTGCAAACTTGAAAATATTTTAAATCAACTTCTTTTGGTCGTATTTGTCAATATATTTTTTACCCCATACTCGTAGCACGTCTAGTTTCCTACGTACAACCTCTCCGTACCGTTAATGGATCACCCTGTATACCAGGTTATTTATTATTTATTATATTGGCAGTCAACATTTAATTAGTGAGTAATTTAAAAATATTAATTCACAGTCTGTTTGTAAACAAGCAACCTAGAACTTATTTATTGATAATTACTAAATGAACTAATTTCAATCACGATCATAAAAAATATTTTTAAAATGGTATTGTAAATAACGGTAACATGTGTCGCATTCATTATTTTCCTTATAAACAAAGTAGAAGGCCAAGGAAGTTACCACTCGTTTGTTTTGGTATATATTTTTTTATTATTTCACACGCTGACACATTTTGTTTTTGTGGGATAAACTTTGTTGGTTTGAGAAAACCAAATTAAAACAACTGAATATTTTAGCAGTCACATTCGGTCATATTTCCACATTTCAATTTATCCTCATAAATTTGTAGAATTGGTAGATATAATTGCATGTTTTTAGTCATTTTTTTAAATTTTTATCAAATTAAGTCAAATAATGTTCTTCGGCACCAGACATCTAGGTATGCAAAAGATATTCAACTTAACAGACAAGATTGATAACTGCTGATACTGCAGGAAGCTATTACTCCATGACATGTCGCACCTGGTATTATATCACACCACGCTAGTACTCATTAAACAATAACAAGTAATTATTCAAAATAAAATAGATATTTTTAAATAATTAATTAAAAAACACATACCTGGTATGTTTACATTCTCAAATAATGCAATCATCCAGGGACACATCCTTTATTCTTGCTTTCACCTTTAACAAAATTTGATTACGTAAAAAACAGCTACAACAAAAAGATCTTTTAAAAATCTTTTTGAGTAAAACATGTGAGACCTAATAATAGAATACGTGTATTTTTGGATGTACCCTCGTATATATCAACCATATCTATTCAATCAATTTATCGAAAAAGCTTGAAATAGCCTTCTGAGGTCAAACGCGAAGTCAATCTGTAAGTTATTTCGCAGTCAACAGTCCCG